AGAATAGCAACCGACAGTCTTCCTTGAGGCCTGACTGTTTCCTGAGTGGAGGTCACCACTCTACTGCTCTCTGGAGCTGACAGGTGGATTTTCCTGCAGTGCTTCTCTAGGTAATACATGTGCTTAGCAGTGCTTTGAAAAATGTATTAATGACACATACAGATTTGAGAGCATCAGAAAAGAGTTCCCCTGTGCATTGTGAAATTAAAGATTAAATTGAAATGTACTTTGAAGGTCCTCTTGACAAGTTAATTCTATCTGGTGCTAATTGGAAAGAAAGAAATTTTACTTCTACTCAGAAAAAGTTAAGCAGTCTTAGGTGTTTTTTGCATAGAGCTGGAACCATAAACATGGGGATTGGAAATGTCCAAAATTTTCGCTGCTTATTAGTATTCAGTATAATGAGTCAAATTTAGCAATTTGTCTGAATATGGTTTGGATTTCAAAATACTGGTGGATGAGTTAAAAAAATTTTTTCCTCGTACAGTCGTTCTGGTGAACTTGCTTGTTGAAAAATGCCTTCAGTCCTCGAAAGAGACAGGGCTTTGGCATAGTGGCTTTAATTTTGTAAAAAGCAATGTCCAGATGGGTTATACTTTGACTGTGATCAAGGAGTAATGGCAGACATGAACTCACTAATCAGCCTCCTCATTACGGAACTCAAACCACTAGATCAGAAATGCTCAGGGTTGTAAGCACTTTAGATTAAGCCATAATTCTTCACTTCTTTGATTACACTTGACAATAGTGCACCGCGTTTTCCTGAATTTACAATTGCTCAGTTCAAATTACACACCCTCTCCTCCCTTTAGTAACTCCTGCTCAAAACCTGATATGATATGTTTTGCCCGTTACATGAAGACAGCCCATCCATGACAGCGCCACTGCTGAGTAAAGGGGAATATTGCCATGTCAAGATTAAAAAATACAGAGCAGGTTTTTATAGACAGTGGGCGGGTGCTCCTTGCTGCCCGTTAGAGAATGTGTTAAGAATTTTTAAGATACTGTTATCTGAGTACTTCAGAGAGGAGCTACAGCAGAGGATATGAGGGAGGGGGTCTGACTCTGGAAAGCCCCACAGGGTCCTGCTCGGTTGCAGGCTTATTTGGCAAATGCAGTTGAGTGCTGTCTCTGAAAAGAGAGTAGTTCCCCATTCTTAGCTTGTCTGAGGATTTGGGAATCCAAAGATGCTCTCTTGATCCTGAGGAATTGCCTTATGCCTTCCTCCTTCTCTGGGTGATAGAGGCAAAGGTGTGAGTGTGCCTAGGTCTAGCCAGCTGGAGACCCAGAAAGAGGGAGGCTGCAGAAGGCTACCGGTCAGAAAATTTAGGGGTGAAGTTACTACAGGGTTCCAGAGGAAGTTGCTATGTTGATTTAGTCTCATAATACCGAGAACAAATGCTTCCAGCTTTTGGGTCAAGTTATCCTTCCAGCTTCTGGAAGGCAGCCCTTGGACAGCACCAGGATCTAAGCAATCAGTGCAGCATTACGCTCCCATCAGGTGATTTTTTTCAGCACTCAAAAGGTTAGCCTTCCAGTTCTGTCCAAGCTGATAATTAGTTCAGATCCAAATGCTAGGCACTTAAATCACAAACCCTTTTAGGAGTGATTGTGTGTTTTTTTTAAGTGAGAGTCAGTCTAAAGTAATGTGTCTACTTGATGGATATGTTTCAGTGGGAGACTTGTTTTGTCTGGCAGAGTCAGAGAGATGAGGGAGCCTTATGCCTTCACACAGGACAGCCGGGGTGACCACTGATGCCTGAAACTCGTGTCCATGGCTGAGCGGTGTGACATCAGGGAAGACCCCTGGCCTTGGGGTCAGAGACCTGACTTTAAATCCTCAAGCCTTCACTAGCTGTGTGGCTCTAGGGAATTCATTTGACCTCTCTGACCCTATCTTTTCCCATCCTGAAATGACTGTGCTAAAATCTTGACTGCTTTGCAGGATAGTTGCAGATACCAAGTGAAAGAGAATGGTAGGTGTGAAAGCCTTGGTGAAACCAGGAAGATTCTTAAAGTAAATCTTTAAGCCAAGTAAATCCTGTCTTGTTTTTCTGTTACTTGATTTTCTTTCTCTGTGTATGTTTCCCCAGCTATTGTCATCGTCTTCTTTCCAAATAATGCACACGTGGATGGATCCCTTTCCATATTATAGCTTTGAAGTAGTTTAGGGCTGGGGAAGGGGGAGATGAGATACTGGTTGAGGGTACAAAGTTTCAGTCCCTCAAGATGGAGAAGTTCTGCAGATCTAATGTATAGCGGAGTGACTATAGTTAACAGTACTGCACTGTTTACTTAAAGTTTCCTCGGAGGGTAGATCTTAGTCTTCCTACCACAAAAAATAAGTTAACTGTGTAGTGATGGGTGTGTTTATTAGCTTGATTGTGATGCTTATTTCACAATGTGTGCATGTATCAAAACATCATCATATACCTTAAATATATACAATTTTTATATGTCATTTATACCTCAATATAGATGAATAAAACAAGGAATAAGTGAAAAAGCCGATGACTTCCATCCTGCCTGGCTTTGATTAACAGGAAAGAAGAAAGAAAGAAAGTCGTTTGGATTGTTCTGTACCCCAGAATGATTTATTTTAAAAGAACCTTAAAAGAGACTAAATATTAGGTTATTTGTGGGTCTCTAATTCTCTTTGTGTAAAGCTTGCTGTTTAGACAGAAAATACTCCCCTACGGTATTCATAAATTGAATGGAAAAGATCCTGACACCAATTGTTGTGACTGTAGCTGCTTCGGTAAATACTAGTGAAACCGAGGTTGCAAAAGACATTGATTTGTGGTCTCTTACCTCTCTCACTTCCTTATTATGCTGAGATTGAACGATTGCACTTGCGTATGGCTTACTGCACTGACAAACGCAGGAACCAACAGCACATTGACATGCAGCTCCCCGTTAAGATAGAAGTCATCATAAAACATGTACGTGCACGGAAGTCTATCACCCAGGATGCCTTCTAATTGTCTTTCTATTTTTGAGAATAATTGAACGGATTTAGCTGAAGAATTTCAGCTTATATAGGCTGTTTTCCAGTTGATCCAAAAAATATTTCGCAAAAGAGATAGGATACGTTTATGTTGTTCAGTTTGCTTAATCCAGTGATGAAAACAAGGTGCCCCTTAGAGGCAGACTGGATTGTTGTTAGTTGATTGAAACGTCATTGAAATGAGCCACGGGCAAATGCTTCTGAAGACTGAAGATTTAGTGAACCTTAAACTGCCAATCAGAGAGATGTGACACAGGCAGCGGCAGCCCCCTGGGGATGGAGAATGGATGTGGGCAGCCGCAATGGCGGCCCTGGGGGCCTGAGCCACCCAGCCTCTGTGTAGAGGTGACCAGTTGCATATTAATGCTGCTTTTCCAGACACTGTCAGTGTGTGGATCTCTGGGAGTTAAAATCACAGCCCGAGGTATGTCATTTTAGTTACTAACATGGAGTATCCACTGATAGTGATGTCCATTTTGGGCAAAGGAGATGACACCATATTTGTTCTCTTTCCAAAAGGTTAACATTTATTGAGAGGGTGGTAACATTTTTGTCTCTCTCCATTTTTGCATTTTTTCTCCTCTGTCCAAACTGGGCCCACCAACCTTTGTTCTTCCAATCTTTTTGTCCCCCTCTCAGGGTAAGTGTGGGCCAGAGAGAGACATTGCCAGTGGGCTCAGCTTTAAAGAGGAGACTGGACTTGAGAACAGACAACACAAAAGAATAAACGCGAGATGAGAGTGAGGCCGGGTTGGCAGGACGAGGTGGATGGAACAGGAAAGATGGCAGATCTGAATCCAAAGCGGATACCTGGCACATTGCAGGCCCTCCCTGAATGCATGGATGGTTCTTTCATTTATTTAATGGATATCTGTTTAGCTTTCACCATGTGCCAGGGTCTATGAATAGAGGAGAAATGCAGCCAGCTGTAAGGAGTGCAGGGTCTGTTTTTACTCACTTAACTCATGGCACATCAAATGACTTGTTCTCTCCTTAGCAAGAAACAGAAAATCGATATTCCATTGCTTTTCCACTGGCATTCAGCCCACACTGCTTTGGGGAAAAAAAGAAAAAAAGCCAACCCTAGACATTTTCCTTAATTATATACAGGGGAGACATAGTCATGTCTGCCCTTGGTGCTCAGAGAAGTTGCAGTAGAGGGCATCGTCCGCGAGTGTGAAATGTGGCTGGAGTTCCAGGTGACAGAGGCCTTTCGGGCCATCTCCTGTCCCTCCCGGCTCAGCGTCGTGCTATCCGGGCTTGGGAGTCGGGCCCAGAATGATCACACGTTTTTTGTGTGCCTGCTATGGCCATTGACAGCTGCTTCACCAGTAGATCTGCAGTGAGTTTACCATGGCAGCTGCTGGGAGGGCCGCCGCAGCCCCAGCGCTGGGAGCAGAGGCGGGAGGGTCTGCTGGAAAACCTTGTCATGTGGCACAGACAGCCCGGCGAAGGGAGAAGGACCCAGAGGTCAAGTTCACAGTGGGTCAAATATGTGTTCTCAGCACTGGTTAAAACAAACATTTAGGAACCATAAATTCTGTGCGACGATCGTACTTAAACCTTCACTGTGAAGCCCTCCAGCCCCTGGGCCAGCCTGAGCACACCGCCTGCCCCTCCCTGGCCTGCTTTGGGGCAGTGTTCTCTGCCCGGTGATCCCTGGGCCCTTAGGAAGCCATCTTGTTGACAGGACCTTTGGCCGCCGCCGGAGTTTGCTGTTTCTGACCCTGTCATTTGTTGTCTTGGATATTCCAAACATACTCAAACATGTTTGTGGAGCTCAAGTTATATTTTCCTGAAATGCAGATTTTGTTTCCAAGCCCTTCCAAGCAATGAGCAGGGAGACTTGGAGTGCTAGGGAGGTGTCACCACTCTTGTAACACTGACCAAGATCAGATCCAAGGCTGAGGAGTCGCTGATGGGATGAGGGTAATCGGTGCAGTGCTTTAGAGCATGCGGAGGGCATTCTCTTTCTTTAAAAAAAAAAAAATTAAAAAAATATGACTGCTTCATGAATTTGCGTGTCATCCCTGCACAGGGGTCTTGCTAATCTTCTGTGTAGCATTCCAGTATAGGTACGTGTGCTGCCGAAGCCAGAAGTGGGGAGCATTTTCTTGATCTTCATGCCCTGCAGGTGTTGACCAGGCACGCACTATGTATTACCTCCTTTTAAAATAGGAGGCAGGGCTCAGACCCTACCCCAGTGCTGTAGCTCTTGGTTTATTGTTCTTTCTACCGCCCTAGGCTTCCTGGACGTCCAGTGCCGTGAAGTTCTCTCTTGAGGCCTTGGTCTTAACTCTTCTGACAGCGCTGCTTTGGCTTAGCTTTTGCTGCCTCAATTCACTGTGCTTTCCCAACCCCCTAACAAAGACCCACCATCTGGGTGGCTTAAAACAACAGAAATTTGTTGTCTCAGAGTTCTGGAGGCTGGAAGTCCAATATCAAGGTGTTGAACAGGGAAGATCTTTTCCAGGCCTCTCTTGCTGGCCAGCAGAAGGCCGTCTTCTCTTTGTGTTTCTTCATATCAGTTTTCCTCAGTGCGTGTCTATCTTTGTGTCCAAATTCCCCCTTTTTATAAGGATACCAGTCCTGTTGGATTAGGGCCCAGCCTAATGACCTCATTTTAACTTGATGGCCTCTGTAAAGGCCCTGTCTCCAAATAAGGTCACCTAGTAATGTACTGGTGATCAGGACTCCAATATATTTTTTTCTGGGGGTGGGGCACCATTCAACTCATAACAAAAGCCTATATAGGTGCTCTGCCGGTGGACGTGAGAAGTGGGCTACTCAGAGCTGGGCCACCCCTGGGACACTTAGGGATTCCCTAGCAATGAGCCTAGGATGAGTGGGTGGAGGCTTGGTTGGACCTCTCCCTCCCACAGAGTCTGTGACTGTGGATTTAATGTGGCTCCTTCCTTAATGCAGGTGGTGTGGATGCTCCAGGGAGTAGGAAATGTAGAGAACTGGCTTCAGGTGATTTTGGTTTTATCTCTGGCCACTCGGTGTGCTTTAAAGAGATTCTAGATTGGTGGATCTTAAATGTGATTGTGCAGCCGATCGCTGGGGAAGTTTGTTAAACTAACTTCTTGAGTCAGACTCTCCGGGGTGTTTACTTGATAAGCACCCCAGGTGATGGAGGTGGCCTACGTTTCGAGAAACAGTGATCCAGAAGGAGCCCTGTCCTGGTCAGTGTTTATGACCCTTTGTGTGGGAATCTGAAGGCCGAGCCCAGCATTTTGCAATTTTGAAACTTCTCAAGGTGGGAGGCCTTTGAAAACATTTCTTTAGCTCAGTTTTGAATAGTACGGACAAAAATGGCTGCATAGGGGGTTATTACACCCAGTTTTCCTTAGTTGAATGATAAATATATGTATTTTTATAAGAGTTGGAAATTTGCAAATTATTATTGATACATAGTTGTTTTTTAAAAAGTTTAAACACTTTGGAACATTTTGGGTATTTTTTTCCAATATTTTATTTTTAATTATAAAATATTTTAGCTACAGGAAAATGTGGAAAATAATATATCCAACAGCTACCCATCAGGATCATGTTTTTAAAAGTTCCCTGATATAATTAAGCCCAATGATTTATAGATAAGAGAAGGACTATGGTCTTATCTTGTTCTGACTGCACTTTTTACTAATGATATTTCCTGTCTTTCTAGGGGAGGGAAAATAGTACATAATTTGTTGATGTAACACAAATTGGTTGTTTTGGTACTTATGGAAAAATACATGAGGGCTGTATTTGTGTATGCTCATGTGCGCCTGTGAATTTGCCTAGTGTATTATTAAGGATTGAACATTTCATGTAGGCACAGTCTGTTGGGTACAGAGAATCTTTGCACACAGTGTCATTTAGACCCAAGACAGTGTGCTTACAAGGAAATGCTGCCTGTTACTCCCCTACTTTACCCACTTTTTTTTTTTTTACCTTCCTCCTCTTTCTTTCCTTATTGGCTCTCAGTTTTGCTTGCCCTGAACTAGAGTCAGTGTAGCTCCATGGTTAGAAGTTCAGTCTTTGGAGTTAGAATACAGGGTACCTACCTTGATGTTGACTCTGTCAACACTTCCTCACAACATAACCTTGGACTGTGAGAGCTGGGGCAAGGCTGAGTCACCGCATTCACAGCACAGGTACGTGATGATGGTCTGTACCACTGTGCAGAGGCTTGCTAGGGGACCACATGAAGTAATACACAAAAAGTGCTTGGAGAGCAGCTCCCCCGCCCCTCTTCCTGCCCCCGCACAGGAGTGTTTGACAGATACGAGCTCGCAGGGGTTCCTGCTTGCCTGCTTAGACCCGCCCCCTCCTGGGTGCCCTAGCCTTTTACACACCCCTCGTGGTGTTTCTGGGTTCCCCTGGTGAAAATCACGGCTCCCTCTTCCCCTCTCCCTGGTTCTCTGATTTCACTGTTAGCTCTGGGTATGGCTGGACCAGGTTGGAGAGGTATCTGCCCGCCCCCCCCATTAGTGAGCTCTGGAGAAGCAGGGTTTCTGTGTCGCTTTAAATACCCAGACCCTGTTCCTTGCCATAGTACAAATGCTACCTGAATCGAGTCAAGTTGAATCGAACCAGCATCAGTGTTGTAAATACTGTCCTCCAAATACTGCATAAAGAACTCTACTTCCTTTTTGGTTTCCTCTCACCTTCAGGCAATCATTCCCCTTCAGTTTTCTTTCCACTATTTTCCCTGTGTGCGTATCCCTTGCCCGACGGACACTGGGTATTATGACAGCTTTTCAGGGCACACCACCTTATTTTGTTTCCTCCTGCTTTCTCTCTGAAGGCTATCCTGGCATGGCTTAAACTTTAAGACAGCTTTTCCTTTCTCCCAGCCAATTTTAGAGTCTTTTTGCTCAACATCATCTGATAGAGATTTGGGACTAAGTAAAATGAATGTTGTATGATTTTCCCTGTAATTTTAGATCCCCAAATACTGCTCTTGGCCAACGACACTATTCCCTGTGGCTTTTCCACTCCACCACGCTTGAGTAATATTGTTGGCACAGACATGAGTAAACAGTTTGCAAAATGTTGTGTTTTGTAAATTAGGAGATGGATGGGCTGGTTTTTGAACACATGCTCTCCATTCTGCTGGACCAGAGGAAGGATGAGTTTGGTCAGTGGGTGGGAAGATAAATTGGAGGAAGGTGTTTTTAACTTAAGTTGATGTGGTCAACTTTACTGATCATTTATTCAAAGATGAGAACTAAATGTTTGGAGGAGAACCTTCGGAGATATTTTGGTAATGAATTAAGGGGGAATCTTCACAGGGGAAATAAGATGTAACCCGTAAAAAGCCACTAGAGGAAATAGGATAATAAAATAAGGAACATACAATAATAAGGATCTTTTGTCTTTGTAGACCTAAAAATGTTTGTATTTCTTATAGGATTATCAAGCAGTTCCAATCTTACTTTCAATCTTGCAGGTACTACTTCATTTTATTATTGTTCTTACAAAGTGAAAATAGAATCTCCATCCTTTCACCCATGTGTATTTTGTCTTAACACCCTATCAAGTGGATTGTTAACAATTAGCATCTTCAAAACAGTTCATTGTAAAAGCTACTTAAATCAGTTAAGACATACCACCTCACCTTGATGGATCATGTACTACATTGGTTCAAGAGTTGGGGCACTTCTGCCTCCGCCAGTAGCTGTGAAGGTTCAAGCAGATCAGTTACTTAAGTTCTCTGAGGTTTTTTTCAGCC